TTACCCAAAACTAATCAAATCTACGCAATTAGTTCAGAGCATCCACTGTGCCAAGTTTCATTGAAATCCAATGAGTGGTTCTTCAAAAATCAGTGGAACAGTCATAGAACAGCTTAAAATCAGTTAATTATCATGCAAATTAGGTAATTAATATTCATAGATTTTTACCCAAAACTAATCAAATCTGCGCACTAGTTCAGAGCATCCATGTGCCAAATTTCATCAAAATCCAATGAGTGGTTCTTTAGATATCAGTGGAACAGTCTTGGAACAGCTAAAAATCAGCTAATTATCATGCAAATTAGGTAATTAATATTCATAGATTTTTACCAAAACCTAATCAACTCTGCGCATTATCCCAGAGCATCTATGTACCAAGTTTCACCAAAATTTGATTAGGGTTCTTGAGATAACGGTGGAACAAAAAAAGTGACATACATACATACATCAACAGACACATACAGACATACAGACAGGGTAACTGCAAAGACTCCCTTTTGTGCTTCGCACACGGGAGTCAAAAATGACTGCCATACTAATTTTAATTAATTAAACAATGTGCAAATCAAAAGTATATACTGTAAACTGCTATAATTTTGCAAACGACAATTTTTTGTGATTTTCTCATGTCAGTGAAACTGTATAGCAGTGAAAATTTCCCTGTGGTCCTAAAGACACAGTGTCTGTGACTTTCACAAAATTTCATCTTCACGAGTGCCATAAAATCATGAGATTGCAAGATTTTCTAACAGTGAAAATAAAGCAGTTTACAGTACACATGTACTTACATAACTGGGAGTCAGTGTGAGTATGGTATCTCACCAAAAACACAATTTTAGAGATGGGCTTGTATAAGAACAAATTAATACAGATATGTTGTACTGAATCATTCTCATGTTTAATTAACTTAATACAATGTACCATTACTCCATATCACATGGAGCCCTCACAACAGCATATGTTACATTTACATTAGATCTTAAAATACACATACCTGATTCATCAAAATAGTCATCAGGAAGCTCTGATAATCCAAGATTGGGATCAATTTCCATTGCATATAAATTGTTATAACCTCTTACAGGCGAGGGAACTTTGGTAAACTTCTGATCAAAAGCGTCTGAAATGTTGTGTGCGGGATCTGTGGATATTATCAGTACACTCTCTCTAACTTTTGACAACTGAACAGCAAGGCTGCAACTGTGTAAATAAAGTAAAAAGAAAATTCTATACAACCCAGAGAATATTTTTAATTTATACATTGTACATGTACTCAGAAAAATACAATAAGAGTGGTTTGTTTTGCCACTGTATTATATTTCTTGTACCCTCAGGATTCCTCCTTACATGATATTTTAACCAAATTTTGCCAAATTTGAATAATTGAGTTTTTCATGGAAAAATCAAGGTTTCTGGCAGTTCATAGTTGTGTTTGATGAATATATTTGATTGAAACAGTGCCCCATAATTTGCTGTGAATCCATCTAATTTTGCCATAGCAGGATCGATGGTGGTGTTGAACGGGTAGCCATTGACTGAATATAAATTAGACCCACATTGATAATGCCGTGATTCCAGTGCTATAATGATAGTGGATCAATGTGGATAAAGCATATAAAAATGTGTATGTTGGATTATATTGAAGTCTCAGTAACAGTAATAGATCATGGAGGTTTACCAAAACAAAATGGCTATTTACCCCTCAGCTAGGCCATGTCTATAACCACTATTCGCTCAGTCACATTCAAATAATTACTAACTAACTAATGCGATGGGATGTGGTGTGCTTGGGTTGTTGTATCCTTTTGCAAAATTTTTCAGGTCATCTTGTACCCCTTGTACCACGTGTTCTTTTTTAATTTTTTTTAAGCGGGTGAAAATTCGGTGTTAGGAATGAGAGGTACCGGTACATTGTATTACAATGCATTTCTGGTTTGTTTGTTATGTTTTAACGTAAACAGTGAATAATGAAAATGGATCAGTTGAAATAATCATGCTATTCACACTGCTGCAGCAAATAATGAATAGTTGAAATAATCATGCTATTCAAACTGCTGCAGCAAATAATGAATAGTTGAAATAATCATGCTATTCAAACTGCTGTAGAAAATAATGAATAGTGGAAATAAACATGCTATTTGAACTGCTGCAGCAAATACTGAATAGTGGAAATAGACATGCTATTCACACTGCTGCAGCAAATACTGAATAGTGGAAATAGACATGCTATTCAAACTGCGGTAGAGGATAATGAATAGTGGAAATAAACATGCCATTCGAACTGCTGCAGCAAATACTGAATAGTGGAAATAGACATGCTATTCACACTGCTGCAGCAAATACTGAATAGTGGAAATAGACATGCT